GATCTGGACTGTAACTCCCTATTTAAAAACAACGTTGGCTGGCCTAACACCAGGGCCGCGGGAAACAGCATATCCCAGAGCCCCAGCCGTTACCCGGCCCCGGGCTCCCGGCGCCGTGGCTGTGACCGACTCCTTCCGCCCCAGGGCAGACGTCACCCCAGAAATGGCCAATGTTTGTTTTATTAACCTTTTCCGTTTTTAATTGGGTTACTCAGTGTTCCAGATGTAACAGACTCCTGGCTAGACAGGTGACGGCTCATGACATCAGCATGACCGTCTACACCCTACAGCACGGGGACGCCCCCCACCCCCCGCCACGGGGTCAGAGAGGCACCAACGGCTCGCTCTCCTCACCCTCTGCTCAGCAAAACATCCTCCCGCCCGGACCGAGCTGAGGCGCACATTCAAGTCCTCCCGCGGAGCATCTGCCCATCAACACGACTATTACAGGCACACGGACTGAATGACAGACGCATGGACCACGCCAGAGGTTTTAATTAGGTCCTACAAATGTAAGACATAAGCCCGGCCGGTGTGGCTCAGTGGTTGAGCGTTGACCTATGAACCAGGAGGTCACAGTTCAATTCCCGGTCAGGGCACATGCCCAGGTTGCAGGCTCGATCCTCAGTGGGGGACGTGCAGGAGGCAACCGATCCATGATTCTCTCTCATCATTGATGTTTCTCTCTCTCTCTCTCCCTCTCCCTTCCTCTCTGAAATCAATTAAAAAATATACTAAAAAAACCCCAAACATACCAAAAAACTATTTGACTTGGCCATGCCAGGCCATTCTACAAGAATTACCCAGAACCCCCAGCACCATAATGAGAAGGACATTGGGGGTCTTGTAATCATAGATGTGACGCTGTCTGGGCCTCCTGATCTACATGCAGGGACCACTCAGCACCACATCCGAGGTGACTGTGAATCAGCCACAATGTCCCAGACACAGAGCAACCTACGTGCCTATCGATGGGTGGATGGGCGGATGGGTGCATGGGCGGATGGGTGGATGGATGAAGAAAAGGCAGTGATGAGTGTGTGTGTGTGTATGTGTGTGAGTGTGTTTGTGAGAGTGTATGTGTGTGAGTGTGTGAGTGTATGAGTATGTGTGTATGAGTGTGTGTGTATGTGTGTGCGTGAGTGTATGAGTGAGTATGCGAGTGTGTATGAATGTGTGAATGTATGTGTGTGAATGTGTATATGTGAGTGTGTATGGGTGTGTATATGTGTGTGTGAGTGTGTGTATGAGTGTGAGTGTGTGTGTGTGTATGTGTGAGTGTGTGAATGTGTATATGTGTGTATGGGTGTGTGAGTATATGTGTGTGTGTGAGTGTGTGTGTGAATGTGTATATGTGAGTGTGTATGGGTGTGTGAGTATATGTGTGTGCGTGTGTGAGTGTGTGTATGGATGTGTGAGTGTGTGTGTGTGTATATGTGTGTATGGGTGTGTGAGTGTATGGGTGTGTATGTGTGTGTGTGTGAGTGTGTATGGATGTGTGAGTGTATGTGTGTGTGAATGTGTATATGTGAGTGTGTATGGGTGTGTGAGTATATGTGTGTGTGTGAGTGTGTGTATGAGTGTGTGTGTATGAGTGTGTGTGTGAGTGTGTGTGAGTGTGTGTGAGTGTATGAGTGTGTGTATGTGTGCGTATGTGTGTGTGTATGAGTGTGTGTGTGTGTGTGTGTGTATGAGTGTGTGTATGTGTGTGTGAGTGTGTGTATGTGTGTGTGTGTGTGAGTGTATGAGTGTGTGAGTGTGTGTGTGTGTGTGTGTGAGTGTGTATCGCACACAGTGGGGTATTACTCAGCCAGGAGAAAGAAGGGAATCCTGCTATTTTCCAGGACACGGATGGGCCTCGAGGGCATTGTGCTGAGTGAGATGGTCTGACAGGCAGAGCAGCGCTGTGTGGCCTCACTGTGGAACCTGAAGAACGGAGCTTGGAGGCACAGGGAAGACCGGTGGCTGCCGGGTGAGGGCGGGGGCGGAAATGAGTGAAATTGGTCACAGGGTACACACTTCCGGTTAGAAGAGGACTAAGCCCTGGGCTGTGATGTACGGACGTGACTCTAGTGAACAGCGTGTGTTCAGTGTATACATGACAGCTGCCAAAGAGTAGCTCTGAGAGCTCTCACCACACACACAAGCGCACACACATATACACATGTGGATGCACACACTCGTACACACATGCACACGTGTACACACCCACACGTGTGCACACACGCACACACATATACACACGTGGATGCACACACTCATACACACATGTGCACGTGTACACACCCACACATGCGCACACACGCACACACATATACACACGTGGATGCACACACTCATGCACACATGCACACATGCACACACCCACACATGCGCGCACACATACACACGTGGATGCACACACGCTCGTACACACATGCACACACATGCACACATGTACGCACCCACACATGCGCACATACACACGTGCATGCACACGCACACATACACACTCACTGAGCTGTGTGAGGCGATGGTGTGCTGATCGACTTCCTGTGATAAGCATGTCACAACATAAACGTGTACGTGGATCCTTTAGGAGACTTTAAACTCACACACCATGTCGCTGACATCCCAATAAAGCTGCAAAACTTGTTAACTTTCTCTTAAAAAAAAAAAAAAGCGGTGATCAGAGCTTCATCAAAAAGAACTTCCCACCGGACCCGAAGCGGGCAGACACCAGGAAAACCGCACGCGCCGAGCAGCCACGGCCCCACTCACAGCTGAGAGGACAGCAGCGTCCGGCCCCGGGCTGCCTCTGCCTTTTCCCAGAACCGCTGGGGAAACTGAGGCTGTGTCCCTGCACGAAGAACACCTCTTTATGTCCGGCACATACGTGCTCATTTAACTTTCACTTCCAGGAAAGACGCCACACACAGGCGCCTCTCCGGGGGCCCCTTCGGCCAGCCCCTGCCCTCAGCCACTCTGGCTGCTCCTGGAGGGAGAGGCCAGGGCAGGCGAGTGGACGGCAGGCCCTGGCCACCAACCCCCGCTTCCCCCGCGGCGGGCTCTGAGGAGGCCCCGCACCGTCCGTCTCCAACCACCTCTCAGGGCCTTGGGGGTGACAGCAGACACTAGCGAGGGCCACCCCGCCCTTGGTGACGGGCAGGAGGGCAGAGGGCGGGGTCTGTCGAGGGGCCACGTGGTGTGAGCTCCCTCCTCCAGGCAGGCCGCCACCGGGCTGCTCGCTTCCGTCCGCCGGTAGAGACAGAGACTCGACAGCCCCCGAGTGAGCCCCGCTAGGAGCGCATCCCCCTCAGCGTCCAGTCCTCCCTGCCCTCTGCCCCCGGGCCCTCTGCCCCCAGGCCCTCTGCTCCCCCACCCCCCCGCCCCGGCCTTGCTGTCAGGTAGCCCGGCTCCTCTCTGCTCCGGCAGAGCCCCCGTCCCGCTCCGTGTAAAGCAGGTCACTGCTCGTCACTAGCGGTCCCTGCTTTTCACGCAGGAACTGGAATAGGATGTCACCAAGCCCGGTTTCCTGGGTCCGGGCGGGGCCAGAGAAAGCTGCCGGGGAGAGAAGCTCAGATGGGAGGGAGCCCGGGAGGGTGGCACGTGGAACCGAGGGGGCCGTGGACGAACACCGTGTCCCAGGGGCCGTCCTGGTGGGGGCTGTTTTCTGAGGGGCTCTTCCCACTCCAGCACCGGAGAAGCTGAGGCAGGCCCTGGATGGTTCTAGCAGGGGACCAGCCGGCCAGGAGGCTGTGGCCGGGACCATGGGACAGACAGCCACAGGTGCTCTGAGCAAGGGTGACACGCAGGGAGCCACGCCCAGGGCGGCCTCACGGCTCCCCCACAACGAAAGTCCTCAGAGGGCCCGGCCGGAGCGACGCCAGGGAGATGCAGGCGGGTGGGGGGCTCTCCAGGGCTCCCTGCCCCCGCCCCGTCCCTTCCCTGCCAGGTGCTCACGACCCCATTCAATCTCACACAGAAGCGCTCAGTAGAATCCCTGTTCTGCAGATGAGGAACCCGAGGGTCAGGGGGGCTCCATGACCTGCTGGCGGTGTAAGTGCCTGGACCAGCACCCCCCCTGTTTGCCCCCAGAGCTCAGGCTCCTTATCTCCGCGTCTCAGAGCCCGGCCTCCCTGCAGCTCAGCCTCCAGGGCCAGGAAGCCCTGGTGCTGAATGTCCCCCCTGAGCAGAGAGATGAGTTTCCGCCGGGGACCCCGATACTGTGAGGCACCCGGACTGGGCGGGGCCCCAGGCAGCGCCACAGATCTGGACGGGGAGCCCCGCCTCCACCCGGGAAGGGTGCGGCTTGGAAAAGAGTGTCACTCCCGTGTTTACCCCAAGATAGTCATTAAGTCACCAGCAAGACATCCCTCTGCAGACTAAACAGCCCACTCCTTCTAAAAGCTCTCCTCACAGGAGCTGTTTTTTCGGTGCCATCTTTCTATATTTACCGGTTTCTCCCCTCCCCAACCCCAAAGCATCCTCCTACCCTCCCTTTCTCTATTTTAAACAATCCTGTAATAAGATTTCCATCTGTGCCACCCAAAGAAAACGGTCATTTTCATAGTTTCCTTCTCCAGCCTTCACAAACGAATACAAAGCCAGCTCGGATGGGATCAGGCCCTTGTGGTCCACTCTGACCCCAGGCCTTTTCTCGGCCGCCCCTGTGCCTGCCCAGGTCCATTCACTGTTTGTCTCTGATCCTGTCGGACTCCATGTATTGAGGGACTCGTGCTTCCTCTCCCGCCGCCCGACGTGGTTCTGACATGCGCGTGAGTCGGCCTCGCCCCCTCTGCCCTCTGAGGACGTTTCAGAGAGAGCTCAGAGGCTGCCTCGGAGAGAGACAGCGTCAGAGTACAATTCCTCCCCCTGCGGGGGCCCGGCACGCATCCCCGCTGGCAGAGGCCGTAGCCACATCTGAGCGACGCCAGTGGGACCCAAGGACTCAAGGACACTGTCCCTGGCGCCCGAGCGTGCCCGCCGGGGGGCGTGCCAGCCCCGAGCGGCCCACTTACTTCGGGGTTCCCGGGGCCCATCCACGGTGATCTTGATGGCGCGGTGGTAAGTGGCGACCTGCGGCGGGTTTGTGAAGACGGTGATCGTCAGCGTGAAGCTCTTCCCTGCGGACAGAAGAGCAGGAGAATGAGCGGCGGCCGGCACGCACCTGCCGCGGGATGGACCGCGGACGTACCCGCCCTCGAACCCCAAGGTGCACGGCTTCAGCGCCGCCACGGCTTTCTCCCCGCCCTGGAGTGGGGCTTTGCTTAAGGTCTGAGCCGCTCCCTATGGTAACAATGGGGCACTGCAGACAGTGACAGCGCAAACGCTGCAACACTTCACACAGAGGCAGCACTTAATCCCCCATGAACAGCACAGGATGGAGAGAGATCGGGTCTGTTTTCTTTCCAGTCAAGACCCCAGGGGATGCGGGATGGGGTGGCCAGCTACCCACTCCTTCCCCACCCCCGCCTCCCCCTTTTATAAACTCAGGGCAAACGCGAGGAAAAGACCCCCAATCCGCCTTCAACTCTAGGGCTGCCTGTACCTCTAGGGTTCGGAGAGATGGAACCCCTAAGACTGAGGACAGGTTAAATTAAAAGATTCTCTGTATTTCAGAAATACTCAATGCTGGTGGGTCTTAAATCCTATGTTTCAATGCTGGATGCTGTTAGAGGCGCTCATGGAATTTGCCAAACCACACTTAGAGCCAACACTCGGGCTCCGGAAACGCAGCGACAGACGGGGGAGACGCAGTAGGTTCTGGAAACAAGTCCATGCCGTGCATTTCCCTCCGACACGTCACCTACACTGGGGGCCTCAGTGCCCCCACCTGGGAGATGGGCACGCAGGTACCGGGTAGAGTTACTAGGAGTCAAACCATCCAAACTGAGTGCGCCGCACTCACTGTTATTACTTCCTTTTTCTCTGTTTCCCACACCCGGACCCTACGGTTTGACTAAGCGTGATGGCCAGGCCTCCTAGGAACGCCCGCATGACAGACCTTCTCCTTAATCGTGTAGCATGAAACGGCACCAAGAGAAATGAAGACAAAACATGCCACCTATTCCTCCACCTGCTCCCCAAACACTTCAAACCCAAACCATCTTCCTCCCTGAGTGAGAGAGAGCAGTGTCCTCGCTGCTCCGCCGCCTGACAGAAAAGGCCCAGGACACGCCCATGAAAGGATCGTTGGCCACGGCAGACGGTGAGGCCTGATCGTGCAAAACCCCACCCAGCCACGGGCTGGTGCTCCGTCTATTTAAAGCCGATGAGAGCCAAGGTCAGGGCTGGCCGGTCTGGCAGGCGGGGTGCGGGGTCACGGAGGGCCAGAGCCCGGGAGGCACTGAGGCGCCCCCCCCTCCCCCCCGCTCCCTCCCCATCAGCTGCCTTCCCTGCTGGGACTGGGAGGACCCATGGCCACAGGCACTCGCTGTCCTCAGGACACCCTTCCGATGGGTGGCACCAGGCGACGGCCGGGGTTGGTTTCTTCCCCAGCGCGGAGCTGCGTGGAGGGACGGGAGGAGCCCACTGGGGGCCCGCGGAGGAGGCTGTGCCCAGAGCGGCTGCCATCTCGCTCTCGGTGTGTGGCTTTCGAAGAAGCGGCCAGAGGAGCAAAGGCAGCTGCCGCCCTGGGCGCAGCCCAGCCCCCGTGCCCTCTGGACATCTTGGCCGGTCTGTCCCTCTCCGTCCACCACCAGTTACCGCCTCCAGCATCCAGAGGGATCCCACAGCCCCATCTTCACACGACCACCCCCTCCCGCAGCCAGAACCCCTCCTCCCAGTGCCTCTTGGAAGCCACAGCGGGCGTTTCTGCTCTGGGCCTTTCTCCCTCCGCCACTCCACCCGCCAGGCCTCCTGCCACCTCCAGGCCTCCTGCTGCCGCCCCGCCTCAGTCTCCCTGGCGGCGAAGGCGGCGCCATCACCCATCCCAGGTGTGCGTCTCGATGACCAGCTTGCTCTGCGGCTGTGACATCATCATTGTGATCCATTAGGCTGTCGGACTGAATGGGGTTGTGGCTGTACAGGCCGGAGGGGGTGTCCTATTCTACACCCCCAGGGCCCCCTCACAGGAAGGTGGAGGGTAGAACTGGGGGGAGGTGAAATGAGTGAATATGAGTAAAACATTAAAGCTGTATCCGGTGCATGGCTGTCAAAGGGGTGTGCATGTGCATGTGTATGAGTGTGTGTGTGAATGTGCATGTGTGTATGCATGTGTGAGTATGAGTGTGTGTATGTGTGTGTATGTGTGAGGATGTGAGTGTGTGTCAAAGAGGTGTGCGTGTGCATATGTGAATATGAGTGTGTGTGAGTGTGTGAATGTGCATGTGTGTATGCATGTGTATGTGTGTATGAGTGTGTGAGTGTGAGTGTGTGTGAATGTGCGTGTGTGACTATGAGTGTGTGTGTATGTGTGAGAATGTGTGTGTGTGAGAATGTGTGTGTTAATGTGTGTGTATGAGTGTGTGTATGTGTGTGAGTGTGTGTGTGAGTGTGTGTGTATGTGTGTGTGTGTGTGTGAGTGTGTGTGAGTGTGTGTGTGTATGTGTGAGAATGTGTGTGAGTGTGTGTGAGTGTGTGAGTGTGAGTGTGAAATGAAAAAGACAGGACCTGGAGACACAGCAGTGCAGAGTGGCACTGCCCAGTGACAGCAGGTGTGTGTGGCGGGGGCAGGAGTGGGGGGCTCTTTCTTCAGGGGCATCAGGAGCTCGTGCACAAATGGGTGCCTCTCCAGACCTCCAGCTCCGGGACACACACCATGTCCCGACCTACTGTGCCTCCGCCCTCCAGGGGTGGCCCTTGGTGCCCGTCTCCCGTGCAGGTGGGCGCGTGCCCTGTGCACCTCCACCGCCTGCAACCTCAGCCCTGAGTCCGTGACGATGCCGCTGTCTCCCAGGCCTGCTGTAGCAAACGGCCCCAAACCAGCAGCCCAGATGCCGGGAATGCATCTCTGGTCTCAGGCCAGGCGTCCAAGATCAAGGTGCGGCAGAGCCGTGACTCCTGGGAGCCTCCGGAAGCACCTGCCGGCCTGGCCTTGCCCGGCGTCTGGTGGCTGCTGGCAGCCCTGACGTGGCTTGGCCTCCAGAGCATGGGTCCAGCCTCTGCCTCCATCACCCGTGGCCTCCTCCTGTGTCTTCTCTCTCCAAACCCCGATGCACCCAAACGGCTCCCGACAGTATCCGCAGGCCTGGATTCTAGGTCAAAAGAGCGTCCTCCGGAGCCAGAGTCGGCGCCTGGCTGCCGAGCGCGCAGTGACGCCTCCGGTGAGCCACAGACCGGCCGACTTCATCCCGAGTGACATTCAACCAACGCGAGTGCTTGCGGCCTCGTTGCTCACAGTTAAAGCTCTATTCCTGATGCCCATCGTTTCCGGTGCAGGCGCAGGAAAGGCCTGCCCGGCAGAAGCGACTGGGTGGGGCGCCTGGGCCTGGGACAGGGTCCGAGAGGTGGCGCGGTCCCGGGCACCCCTCCCGCGGGCTCCTGCTGACAGCTCCGCCGGGACGCCGGCCTGTGGCCTCCCAGACGGAGGTGCCGACTGGCGACACTGGGTCACAGGTGTGGCGACCCTGTTCCACTTCGGGACAGCTGCCTCCTCTTCCCACCTTCTTCCGAAACGGACAATCGGGACAGTCAGCCGAGGGCGCACCGAGCCACGCCGTGGCTCCGGGACCAGGGCCCGCGCTCTCCCCGCCCCGCCCGCCCTCCGTCACGGACACGCCCGCCTTGGCCGGCACCTGCAGGCAGACGGTGGCTGTGGCCCGGAGCGCGTGTGTGTGCGCCAGACTCCCTCACCCTGTGACCTATGGGCCTGGTATCTGAAGTGCGTGGGCGTGGAGTGTGAACGGCGCTCAAGTGTTGTTCTCAGGCAGCCGTAGCCAGGCCGGGAAGAAGCCAGGGCAGGGCGCGGGGAGCAGATCTGTGACACCCCTGCCCTCCCCCCCGCGGCCCCCTCCCCCCGCCATGGGCTCTGCAGGGGCGGGAGACAGGGCTGTGGCTGCGGGGGAGAGTGAACGGGAGTCCCTGCGGAGAGGCTCAGGGATCCCCTGGCCGTGGCTTTGGCCTCAGGAGAGGAGCAGAGGCCGAGGCCGGAGCACGGGTGACCCTGAGCTGCTGCTGCAAGGCTCAGCTCCCGGGGCCACGCTGCGGGTCGCAGGCCTTGGGGTCGCAGGCGCCCTGCGTGGGCAGTCCCAGACGAGGGAGCCAGGAAGGGGGCCACGGGACCCCCCTCTCACCCCCGGCCAGGGCGGTGGGGTGCCCGGAGGAATACACCGAGCAGCACACACAGGAGGCCTGAGTAAGAGGGGGAAGAGACGGCGGGGGAGACGGCGTCATGACTGTGACCTGAGGCAGCGGGAGCAGGAGCCGGCTCTGTCACTGCCTGGAGGAAGGCCGGGGCTGTGGGCGAGCGAGCTGTGTGGCCTCGGGCAGGCTGCTTAACCTCCCTGGGCCCTCGGCTTTGTCAACTGTGAAATGGGGAGTCCTTCCCTCTCAGTGTTGTGCAAGTTCAATGGAGCCCTGAATAGCAATATCAACTTAATGATCACAAAAGACGGAGCCACATGATCCCGCCAGCCCACGGCTGCGGGCGGTCCCGTGTGGAGGGGCTGGGGTCGGGGGCAAGGTGTGCATCAGGGCTCTGCAGGGCGGCGGGACGGAACCCAAGACCCGCCAGGAAAACTACGCTGTCTACTGACCTTGAAGTTCAAGTTCGCTCCTGCCCCGCCAGCTGGCGACCTTTGCAAGGCACAGCTGTGACTGGCTGCTGGGCTTTCTCAGCCAGCCAGGCCCATGCTCCCCACGGGACATGTGTCACCCCCTCAGCGCCGTGTGGGCACGCAGACGCCGGGGCGGAATACCGACGGTTTATTCTGTGGGGAAGGTTCCCGCGAACGTTCCCGGATGCTGGCTGCCCCACAACTCCAAGGCCCTGGGGCCATGACCTCCTGCAGCCACTGTGGTCGCATAAAGCCACTTCCCCGCCTCGGCTGGGCCTCAGTGGCTAGACCTCAGGACGGTGGCAAATGTGCTCCCTGGTCCCCAAGGGCCGAGGGAGGCGAGAGGATTAGAAGGTAAGAAGGCCACTCTAGCCCTGGCCGGTGTGGCTCAGTGAATAGAACGGCCT